GGGTTTGCGGTTTGGGGTTCAGGGTTTAGGGGCAGCGCAGTCAGAGGGATCAAGCAAAGCTTTTGACAACACTAGGCCCTGAATACTGCTAACCATAAACCCTAAACCCTGTAATGTGTAACCCTGAGTACTGCTAATTTTCTCACCCTCGCATATTCTAATGCGTCCTCATCGGCTGCAGAAATAGGTTGTCAAAGGACATGACCATCAACTTCTTTGAGATCGTACAACAGGGATCTTAAGGATGAGTTTTAGCAGTGCCTAAGTTGCTTTCAACGCCAATGCCACCCAGAAACTGATGCGACAAGAACGCATGCAGGTAGTGCTGCCCAACGAAGGACACGCTGGAGGAAGCATTCCTTGGGGGGGGGCATCCTCAAATTCAAGGCCTTTGGGCCTTCCTGAATGACAATAATGTGTCCTCCTGTCCCGCAGGAGATGATGGGACCTGATGTCGACAGTAGCACTGCAATCCGTAGACTGGCTTGGGATCACAGTCTGGCAAGCAGCCTCGCTACCAGATACTTCAAATCAGCGCTGTCAAAGCAGCTGTCTCATGTCAAACTTTTGAGGCTGGTTGTCTAGCGAGGGGCCTACGCCTCTGTGACTCAAAGCGGGTTCACCCTGATTAGTCTCCAGGAAGTACTAGGACTAGGAATCTCATGTTCAAGTAACCCAAAGCGCCATGCCTGGAACGCTTGTCTACACTCTGAGCCTGTAGGCAAATCCTAGAGGATGTCTGGGCCTGAACAACTTCGTGGCAATTATTGCCCCTTTTGGTCGTAGATTATATCAAGGCACCTAATATTAAGGGGTGCTAAAATGGAACCCTAATTTTGGGAACTCCCCGCATGGAATACTTCCGACATGACAGACATTGATGCACGTTTGATCACAAAATGCAACGCTTTTTGAAGTATTCTCGTCCTGGGCCCGGTATGATTCCTGTAGAATGCCCATGTGTCTCAGGTAAAATCCCCACATCTGGGCCCAAAGATCAGCACAAGGGAGTTGATCATAGTCCCCCAAAACTGATGCTTCAGATGGACCTTTTAGCCTCTTCCAAGCTCAGAAATGGGACCTTCAGGTTTTTTCTAATGTTGGTCAAACCTAGGGTTGCGGCCCCTAAACTCTGATAAAAACCCAAAACCTGAAAGCAGTGCGACCCAACTATAATGGGTCATATATAGGCGTTATATAGGGGCATATTGGGGTTGTTTATATAGGAGTTATATAAGGATTATATAGGGATAATGGAAAGTAAAAGGAAACTACCAATTTCAGCTTCATTTTGCTACGAAGGTTTCTCAAACCCCTCAATACTCTCGTCCTCGCATAACCCTAGTCATGACGGATCCCAAAAATCGGAAACCGCAACTGCGAGCCAAGAAGAATGCATGATCCTTACGTGCCTGTACTGCGTGGCTTTGAGGCACCTTACACCATACTTCCTTACACCATACTTCTACTGCACAAGGATCCTATGACTGTCATGTTGTCGTTCATGGTTGCTTCTACATTGCGCGATCCTTGCAATTAAGCTCCTGAATAAACGAGCTTCCATTTTGTCTTCCAAGTTATTTTCCATGTGATTCTCCATTATTGCATAGTCTATCTAAAACCCTCAACCCAAATCCCTAAACCCTAAAACCCTAAAACCCTAAACCCTCAACCCCAGGATCCCCAAGAAGCAGAGCCCTAATAAGAACTTCTCTGATCAACATCTAGGCCCCTACAGTAAGGCAGCATGCATCAAAGCCTCAGCGCAAACTCCATGGGCCAGGAGGCCTCCGAGGCTAGTATGTCAACATCATACCCCTTCGGGTTTGGATTGAGGGTTTAGGGTTTTGGATTTAAGGTTTAGGGTTTTGGATCTAGGGTTTAGGATTTAGGGTTTAGGATTTAGGGTTTAGGGTTCTATAGGGTTCCATGGGGTTGAAAAGGGCTTCAAAAGCGTGTAACTTTTGAAAACCACAGTAGACGTGACTTCAGGGCCGAATTGATTTGGGAGGCCGTGCGAATTCTGTCTTGCAGAGGGGTAGTCCCCTCATCCCAAACCCCAGTGTCCCTTCCCCATTCCGTCTCGTTTTCCATCTGAGTCTCCATGCCCCTCAACCCTAAACCCTAAACCATAAACCCCAAACTTGGTACACTTCTATGCCTATAACTCCTTTGAGGGACCTGAGGTGTCCCTGTGAAATGCGCCAAACGGAAAGCCTCAGTCTGGGCCACCATGGTGGACACTGCCTCGGACCCAGTCTTCTCAATGCTGACCGTGCCTCCCACGGGGCAGCCCTTTAAAGGATGTTATGGGCTTTTTTTCCAGGGCTTGAATAAGGGTAAGGGTTTGGAAGGATTATGTAGGGGTTTTCCCCCCTTTAGCCTTCGGGGCTGTGAAGCTCGGAGCGCCGCACGGCAAAGCAGAAGGGTTGGGGCGCAAAGGCATCGGCGAAAAGCTTGCGGCTGTGGAAGGTCATGTACTCCTCAGCAACTTTACCCTAAACCCCCTTAAAAGCAAGCGCCGGGCTTGCCAAGCTTTGCAGGGTCTATGGCCACGTTTGGGATCATTTCATGAAAAAACCGTGTGGGATGCATGTCTTGAATCAGGAATCAAAACTTGCTGGTCCACTTTCTGATCCCCACCATCCTCGGCAGCATTGCTACACGTGTACTAATAACCCTAGGTCCTTTTCACAGGGTGTAGAGGGATTATGTACATATACATATATATATATATACATATGGGGGTTAGGGCCTAAAGCTTATGGATATTACCGCAATAATGGAGAACTGAAATGGAAAGCGGGGTTATATAGTGCTTGATAGGGTATAGGGTCTGCAAGCAGTAGAGGTCCCTTGTTCGGAGTCCTCATCGTAAGGATTGTAATGTGTGAGTGTGCGTGTCTATACGGGGATTACCCAACATAAGGGATACCATTTTGGGAGTCCCCATAGTAAGGACAATAATATTTTGGGGCCTATATTAGGGTAATCTTATTTTGGGAAACTACCATATCGAGGTCCCCACATTGTTGGGAAGTGCCACATCTTCATGGCTCTACAGAAGTTCAGCCATTGCAAGAGACACGTCCCGTCTGCTCTATTTGGTGCTGTAGGGGTGTTAGGCACTTTTGCTAAATTTGTATGTCACACTAACAAAGAAAAACTAAATCCTAAACCCGAAACCCCTAACCCCTATAGTGGTCCCCTGCATAATCCCATGTTTAGACTCCTTTAAGGAGCTTAGATCCATAAACGCTTTCCGTCCAATCCAAGAAGGAGATGCAAGTCATCAAAGACCCCAGAACCCTGGTTCAGTCCAGGAAAATTCTAGGGATCCATCAGGGTACATGTAAGGAATAACATTCTAGAGGTATATAGTAGGTATGCCGCAGTATAGTAGGTATGCAGTAGGTATATAATCCTCGGGTTAGGGGCCCATACTAAGGGCCTGTTGCTTCAACCTGAGAGTATAGGACCGGCAATGTTGACGCTCTCAACTGGGACGGGCGGCGCCGAAGTCTGCGGGAGTCACCTCTTTGCCTATGGCAGCGATGAGCTGTTTCCGCAGCCTAGTTGGCATCAAGACATTCAAGGCTCAGGGCTTTATGGCTTGGAAGGGATGTCACTTGGGGAAATTTCATTCCTTTTGGAGCCATTTTACTATTACTGTTATTGTTGAGGGATATTCTTACGATGCTATTACCGTTACCACTACTATTACCACTACCACCTATTATCATCACTCTTGCCTTCACTATTACTGCTGGTGCAAATGAGACGATGCTTTCTTCTGCCGTTGCAATTTATCCTTCAAAGACCATGTTCAGGAACGTAAGGCTTACGTGAGGGTTGCGATGTTTGTAGCCTGTAGTAATACCCTGAAGCCTGTAGGTCTTGAATGTACAGCCAGTGTAGTTTGAAAAGTTAGCTAGTACATGTTAGGTTCTTCTGTTCCTTGGCTGGAGTAAAAAGGGCTCTGCATGCGCCTACCGCTCACGGGCAATTACCATCATCTCCCCTGGTGGGCTTTGCTTCCAGAGTTTAGGGCTAACCTCAGGATTCTTGTGGGTGGAGGTTCCTAAACGGGAAGTAGATAAGGGCTGTTGGGAAATCATATTGGCAATAGTGCAAGCTTCTAAAGTTCATGCGCACTTTCTCTTCATCAGGGCCAGGCGTACACGCTCACATGCACACCATCCAAGGGACAAGTCTTCGACGTACTTCAAGGCATCGTGATACTGCTGACACACTTCCTTGCAAATGCCAAAAAGCAAGCAGCTCTCCTATGGCCAAGTAAATTGCAGGTCTTCATAAGAAACACAAGAGCACGGAAAATTATCATTTGTTGATTCTTGCTATACCAGCAGAAATACATGTAGAAAGAGTTGAAAGAAAGAGTTAAAAGAATGACAAGAAGGCATACACATCCTTGGTACTGATAACTGCGGGATGTGATGTTCATGTTAATCCCTCTGCGTTAGGCTACAGTCTCATTTGATTCTCCACAGGACGTTCAAAAGCGTAGTGGGCAAGCTTCGAAAAATGGCACAGCCTCATGCTCTGGGAAAGAAATTGGATTTTACGAACAACTAGCAGGTGGTTCTCATCCTATAAGTCATGTACTAGGGGTACACGGTGGCTGCATCATCTCTTGAACCACTTGGGACCCCGAAAGCCCTGTCAGTCGTTTCTAAGATGTAGGATCTATAAGGCGGTGAAGGATTTCCTGCATCCTTGACCAAACCTTCTGCGCACTGACAAGTTGGGCCAACATCGGTTCGGGGCTGCCAAGGCAACGTCCAGAAAAGTCCTTTGATCCTTCTTGCGAGGAGCTTCTCAAAATCAACTCTTCGACGGAGAATAGAAGGGGACCCGGATGCAGATAAGCATCCTAAATCCTAAACACTACACCCTGAACCGCAAGTGTATAATTCAGCCCACCTTTAAGATCTTGCCAAGCTAAGTCCAGGCATCGCTGCTATGAAGGACGGCTGCCATCAGTTGCGCTTCTGCTACGGTCACCACGGACTCGGATTGTGGAAATGCCTCCAAGACAGCTACTGAGCTGGAGTACGCGGGGATAATGGAATGGAAGCTACTATTTAGGCTTTAGCGCTTAGGGTCAGGGTTCAGAGTTTCCCTCTTCATACGCGCAGTATAAACTTTGAAAAATGGAAAGAGTGGGAACATCATTGAGCAAAGAAATTAGAGGGGCTCTGCAACAATAGAGTGTGAGTCGGCTACAGTAGGAATTTTACATCAGGCAGGGGTGGGGGGGTCCGAAACTATTCATCCACCCAAACAGCAAGGCAAAGCACATGCCGGTCAATTCCTTTCATCTAAGAAATGGTGAGAAGGGACTGAAGGTGTAGGATATAGGGTTATAAGGGAATCCGTCCCCTAAGTCGTGGGTGTTGGCTTGCTACCCCAGACATGTGTGTAGGGTGCAAAATCCCAACGGAAACTGAAAGAACCAACTTTGCCAAAGGTTGAAGCTGCTTCATCCCATATCCTTCAGAAGCATAAGCTATGGCCCATCAGACAAAAAACATATGAGCTTTAGTCTAACTCCTAGTATCCCCCTCAATAACTCCTACAGTAATTCCCCTATATAATCCCCTCTACAACCCCCTTTAAGGAGTTTAGACTAAGGCTCATGTAGCCACCACATCGCCTGGAGGAATATTTGGGCTTCATGCCTCCAATCTTCAAGCAGACACGATTCCTACAGACGATCCCTGTATCTACACATGCATACAGAGTCCCTCTTTCCCCCAGAATATGTGCACCTTGCTTCTCAAGGAACCTCAAGCAGGGGCCATGATGCTGGCACGTATCCATTTCTGACTTGAGGGGTGAAAGTTTTGAGGGAAAGGGTGACATGCGCCATCCATACAACATCCTCACAGAACATATGAGTTCGACATGTAACTTGCATGACCTCCATTGACATATCTGTTTATCTATGTATCTACCAGTCGTTCATCACAACTCTACTAACGGCGCACGCATGAAACCCTCAAACCCTCAAAATCTAAACTGCATGCTAATAAATGCGATGAACCTCCATGCGAGCACTCATTGTCCATTCCATGCCCTCTTTTTGTTGAGTCTTGGAACAACATCTGCCGGTTGCCAAAGGGCCTGGGCCAGTTCTCCAAACTTTGCTTCCAGCGAACCTTACTTCGGAGAGTGACATCGTGTTTGGAGCAGGGGGTATGTGGGGATGATAGTACCCGCGAAAATGGAAAAGCAAATGGGGAGGAAAATGTAAAACGAAATAGAAACTGGGATTATATACGGTGTTTTACGGGGGGGATATATTGGGGTTATAGGAGGATAATGGAAAATGTAATGGAAACTACAATAATAAATTGGGGTTATGTAGGGTTTATAGGGAATATGGTAGGGGCCGAAAGAATTATCAATGTCATGATGAGGTCTGCTCGAGATACCCTATACCAGAATTGTACAAGGAATCTCGTACCAGAAGCATTTAGGCTCCTGGAGTAGACTTCAACAATTTCGGGTTCAGGGGGTTGGTGGTTTAGGGGTTTGGGATCCAGGTGTGGGGGTGTAGGACTTTCAGCGGAAGCGCTTCCTCGGGCTTTAGGGGCACTAGGTTGCCTAAACCCTATACCCTAAACCCTATACCGTTCTTGAAGAAACAACAACATCCTGTAGCCCATAGCATCTCTTCCCCAAGTCAGATCTGTGTTTGTGAAGTCAGCCTTCAAATGGGTTTAGGACTTTAGGGTTCAGGGTCCAAAAATTGGGTTTCTCTACTAATTCGTCAAAGGCCTCAAACCCCTTGTCAGGAATAGAATTCCTCTAAGCACCCTCTCCCCTGATAGCAGACCTCCCGCAGTACTGCATGTCAAGTCCAGTTTGGGAACATTAAGTCAGCACAATGCTGACATGTGGGGCATGTCTCACATCTAAGGTAGCCATATCCCCCCAAATGTGGTAGAGCCCCGAAAATACCGTATCCTGATCTCTGGCACTCCCCTCAAGTTAAGCTACAAGGAAGCCCCGAGCCCCTCAACCCCGAAATGAGCTATAGTCTAAACTCCTAGTATCCCCCTTAATAACCCCTATAATGCTCCCCTATAGAATCCCCTATATTACCCCCTTTAAGGAGGTTTAGACCATAGCTCATATAGGACCTTAGTGAGTTGTCGGGATGCCTTGGAAAGGTCTTACGGATTCCTCAGTTCTGGATCCCCCTTATCTTACTGCTCCTGAATAGGGAATATGGGAATATATTCTAGGGAGATTCTACTCCCCCATTCCCTACTAAGAACCAGTAAGTTATAGGCCCCCTCAAGGACCCAAGTAGTAGAGGCTGTCAAGCTGCGACGCTCTTCCTGCAGGAAGCGATTGGCGTCTCCTAGGCTGAGGACGGCGCCTGATGGGCGAGCCTGCTTTGTTGCTTTTCTTAGGAGAACAGTAGAGGTGACCGTTAGATGAGTACATCTCCTTATTGGGTTCTGGTATAACAACACGTAGAGATGATTTCCGACAGTGACCCGGTCTTTGTTAAAGGGTTCCGGGCTTGGCGTTCAGGGTTCAGCATCTTGTGAGGCCTGCTTTGTTCGGCTCTGTATGCGTTCATGACGCCTCAGGGATGCTCACACAAGGCCTCGCTTCGTGCGAGCGGGTATGACAGCAGAATGCAATGGCTGTTCCAGCCTTTTTAGATGCAGTCGCTGGTTGAAAAAAGCTGCGCAAAACTCCACTGGCTGGGCAACCCAAAGCTTTCATGCTGTTTTAATTGCAATTATAGTAATAGTAAGAGCAAGAGTAAGAATAAGAGTAAGAGTAGGAGTAAGGAGTAAGGAGTAAGAGTAAGAGTAAGAGCAAGAGTAATAGTAATTGGAATAAGTATAGTAATGGTGATAATAATGGCCCATTATCATTATACCATCCTTGACCCGCACAATGAACTTCTCCAGGTACATGCTCTGTGTCTGCTCTGGTCCCGGAGAAGAAGCAAGGAACAAGACGGGAGGGGAGGCTGTCTCAAGCTCCTAAGCATCACGTCTTAAGACCTAAGACCCTGAACCCAAACAAACTCTAAACCCTAAACCCTAAACCCCATGAAATCCAAAACCAGGGAGACCGGCCCTTAGCCTCTAAAGCCTTGAAGCCTTCACCAAGGCCTCGTGCGCCATCAGCTTGTTGGCTTAAGTCGATGAGATCCCCCCCCTCAGAAACCTGCCAGTGAGGCAACTTCTGTCGCTATATGCGTCATAGTAGTGTATTAAGGTATCAATTTATCACTTGAACTATTCTAATATCATACGCGCCAACTCCCTGACAATGCAGGCCGGAAGCCATCCACATGTGATTTTGTGGGACAAGCGCAGCACGATCGTACGCTAGATGAAGCAACATGCCCTCCAGAGAAAAGCGTGCTTTCCCATATGAATGCTGGCAATCGCAGGAGATCGTGAAAACATTGAAGATTGAAATATTCCGTGTGTTTATGCGTTGTGTTCGTTGAGGTAAATGGCCGAAAAAGCGGCCTGCATGGTGTATCTGGCACTTGCCGGCATTGACACATGTTCGGCAGTTTGTTGATGTGGCTGTCGCTGAGCAAATCACCAGAATCCTTAAGGGTCCCTTGGTAACCCTCAGACCCTAATATTGACAGTAGCTCATATGAGAACACAAACCGATGTACCAAGATACATCATGGGATGGAACAGTCTAAACTAGTAAAGCCCCTACATACCCCAATATACTATAGTAGTTTCCACATTCTTTTTCCAGTATGTTTTCTTTTCTGAATCGCGGAGCCTGCACCAGTTCCTTGGTTTCTGGATCTTCCAAGAGCGGCAACACTGGCTGGAAGACGCTGTCTTTGTCCAGAACCGAGAGATCCTTCAGCACTGTAGGGTTTGGGGCTTTGGGTTTGAGTTTAGAGGCCGTAACACTTAGGATCCTAAACAGGCAAATGGAATAGAAATAGCACATTAAATGCAAAGTGGGGCTGTACAGAGGCTGTAAGGCATGGGATTTGGAAGGTGCTTTGTGTATTATGGTTTTGGAAGGGTTGAAATCGTAGGCGGGTTGAGGAATGGGGTGCAAGCGTAGGGGGGATGTTGGATGTAAGGTCTGGGGTCAGCACTTGCTTGCTATAAATTGGTCAACTGAGGCCCAGGCTAGGCGAGTCGTGTCGACTTTGCCACACATCTCTTTCCTACAGCGCCCTAAACCCTAAACCCTACACCCTGGGGTTTTCAGCGTAGGGTTCATGGCACACAAGGATGAGCTTCTCAAAGAAGGTTAGGCCTCTAAGATAGGTGGAACTCAAAAAAAGGGGCTGTTGGTGGAAGATGTTCATTGCGTAAGTCTGCAAGAACTGAAGTTGGAGCGGCTGCCGCTTTCCACCGCTTGTCTTGCGGAAAACGACTGAAATACTACGAAGCTATTTCGACCCTAATCGGGCAGCATCCCAAACTAATGCTCTTCTCAGAGGATGCGTATCATTGATCTAGGGCTTGCGCTTCTTGAGATACCGCTCAACCCCGTGGTGTTCAAGAACGAATGATCAGGACGGCGCCAGATCCATGCAAAACGCTTGGGCCCCCACATGTAGTGAAGGAGACTTCGCGCCCAAATCTGGAACTGTTGGAAATGCTTCTGTGCTGCTTGCACCTGCGCAGTACGGCGAAGTGAGGCGTAGGGTTCTGGTCCTTACTGGCGGTTAGCAGGGAATAAGGGCATATACTATAGAGGGGTCATATAGGGATGATAGTCCCTTATTCCCTACTAACCACCACTAAGTTCAGCGGGATGGTGTTGTATCTTGAAAAAGCCTACATAGAAGACAGCAACTGACCGAAGAAGACCAAGGCAATCGAACCAGCCTCCTAAAGGAACTTCGCTGTCTGCACAAATGGACTACATCTATATCTGGGTAATGGGGACTGGAGACTATCACTGTCATGGTTTTGAATTCTTTCTAGACTGCATCCTATTCTTTGGGGATACACGACGGCAGCAATTCTGCAAACTCCTCCGCAAGTGCGCCTCGCAAACCTTGTAGCATTCAATAGCATCTGAAAGTTCTGTCAGTCCCAGATGACCGGCATCCATTCTTAGATCCCAGGAACGTAAGATGTAGACCAAGGTACCAGAGTTACAGGTACCTTTTTTGGGGTCCATAAAATCAGGACTCGAGTATTTTGGACCTATATTGGGGGTTCCCGTATTTGGGGAATTACCATTCAGATTTAGGGTTTAGGGCTTTTTCCCTCCCCCGAGGGAATAGGAGGACCTTATACAAACCCCAAAATACTATAGTCCTTGTTATTGGGACCCCCAAAAGGGTACACCTAATTTTGGGAAACCTTCAAGATACCCAAAACCTAAATCCTAAATAGTAGTGTCCATTTTCTTTTCCATTCTCCCCTATATAACCCTATATGACCCCGAAATTTTGGGAAACCACCACAAATTTTCTAGAAGCTTCTCCCCACCTCGGGGTTGCGCGTGGGCGTCCGGCACTTGGCATCCTCACGGCAGATGGTGAAGGTAGCCCAACGGGTAGCATCCTGCAGGCAACAGTTAAGGAGGGTTTAGGGTTTAGGGTTTAGGGGGTGTCCCAAAAAGTAGGGATACTACCCCCAATACTGGACAGTCAAATGGACAAGAACATGGAGAATGAAATGGACACAGGGATTGTATAGTTGATTGTAGGGATTAGGGGTTGGAGTTTCAGGCTCAAGGTTGAAATCTGTTGTATGGATGTGTAAAACGCGGCGCAGTGTTTCTTGATCTTCGGATGCTGTCTTGTCGCCCGGTTGCAGCCAACGACATTTGGTGTGCAGTTGGGTTGAGGGGTCACTCCAATACTATTATAGGGGTTATATAGGCAAAATGGAAAAAGAAAATGGGAGCTACAATAGGGTTTAGGGTTTAGGGGAAAAAGAAAATAGAAGCTACAGTTTAGGGTTTAGGGGTAGATAACCCTAATCCCTAAACCCTTGACCCTGATTCCTCAACCCTTAGGTTCTTGGGGCTTTGAATTTCTCCAGGACTGCTTTTAGGTCATTATTCTCTGGCCTCTGTTTGATAGAGTTTGGATGACGCGAATTTGGCGTAATACTAAGTTCCTTAAGTCCCCATATTCCCACACTTTCCATGTAATTTTCCATGTTATTTTCCATTTCCTTCTCCATTATAAGGAGGTGATATAAATTGGCTGTAGACACGGCTCTTACAGACTGGCTGCTGCGCAAGACGGCTAGCAAGAGCTGGCTATAGACTACTGGGTTGCCGTTAAGGAACTTAATTTGAGTTACCACAATGGGTATATATAGTAAATAATAGGGTTTCGCCAATACAGTAACTTAAATTAAATTCCGTAGAAGCAACCCAGACAGTCAATGTTTCCTGCACAACGAGAAGCCCACAGTGCGTAGATAGGAAACGACAGGGAATCATTTCTGGGAATCAGCATTCACCATTGAAAAACGTCATGACTAACCTAACATGTGACCATGCGTCAGCACATGGAAAGCACAGGCAAACTCCAGGACGAGCCTCTCTCAGCGAACGGAGCATCCAGCTGATGTTCACCTGGGAAAGGTTCTGTCACTCTGCCTCTCCTGCTAAACCCTAAACCCTAAACCCTAAACCCTACTCTTAACCAAGCCGTGCTTTGGCCAGAAAACTCCAACCTTGAATGGCACCGATTGCTACGACAACTTTGAAGGCCATTCCCATTGCTGTCCATCACACAGTCCTGTACGGCAAACAACTTCCCATGAAGATCCCCACAGCAGTCCATTCTGACCATTGCTTTCCACTGCACCCCTAAATCCTAAACCCTAAGAAATAGAAAGACGGGCGTTGGCGATCAGCTTGCCCATCCTCAGAACTGCCCCCACAAACTCAACTCACCGTCGTTCAAGACTTTGAATTCCTGCCCTTAGTTAAATCAATCCCAAGCTAGCGCACAAGTTGTTACAGCATCCCAGACGCGGGATCCAACTTGTGCGTCTTGACCTGAGGGGTTCTCCAAAAGCAGGGTCTCAGGGATTCTACTCTATGGGATTTTTTTCATATTCTGGGGGTCCCCCTCAACTACTATCTACGGGGACCCTATTGGGATATATGACCTCATAGAAGAATACTCTTTTGAGAAACTTCCGCCGCCTCTGGGAAGGGTGACTGCTTCGTCTGAGTCTTGATCCTGAGATGGTCAGGAAACCCCGGCAACCAAAAGACTATGATCTACGAATAATGGAAAATCAAATGGAAAAGATGATGGAGCGTGAAATGGAAACTACTATTTAGGATTATGGTTTAGGACTGAGGGTCACGGTAGTTTCCCAGATAGGGGGGCCCAAATCTAGACCCCAAAATACGTTAATCCTTATTATTGGGACCCCAAAATGGTACCCCCAATGTTGGGAAATCCTCGTATTGTGGGACCTCTGGAAGAAAGAGCTTAGGCCACAGTCATAGGTATGGTATGACTGGGGTTTGAGAATGACAGCTTGGCGCTTTGCCTGCGTTTTGCACCGTGGGTTCTGAATCCACCGTGCAAGAACTACCACCCCTGCACCTACTAAATCTCAGACCCGAGCGCCCAATTCTGGATCTACGCCGAAATATGCCGAAATGAAAGTTGGTTCGAAAGACATGCTTCAATTTGAGGCCTTTCTCTACAAGGACCACGTGGCTACCTGCCCCTGGCCCTAGCAAGACTGGCAATGGCCATTGCTGCAAGAGCACTCCACTCTCCCACTGCGACTCCTGAAAACCATGCGGTCTTCTTCTGAAGCTCCTCCCAGCTGCTTTGGCTGAGGCGGCTACAATTGAGGCTTTCTTTCTGAGATTCTAGGGGACCTTCATTACTGCGACATATGCTGCAAGGAAAATTCAGATTCTTGGACTTGAAATGGTGGAGGTAGAAAGAGAACCTTGTATATCTATGCACATCTATCATAAGATGGCTACCAGCAGTCTCCCAAGCTGATCGCTCTTCATTCAGAGCCCTAGACTGTCTGAGAGCTGGATTTGGTAGTTTCCCAAAATAGGGGGAACCCAATATAGACCCCAATATACTACAATCCTTATTACAGGGACCCCAACAAAAGGTAGCCCTAATTTTGGGAAACCCCCATTTGGGGAAGGTCAAGGATGGAAAGCTTTTTGGGTAGAACCGCTGCCCTTTTGCAAAAATCTTCCGCGCCTACGCCACGAAATGCAACGAGCTGGTAGCTGACACTGAAGCCCCAAACCTGCTCCTTAGTGCATGATGGGATCCTTGTTGCGTAATGCTTATCCCAATAGAACCCCAATATTACCCCAATATTCCTCCAATAGAACCCCAATAGAACCCAAATATACCCCAATATATCCCCAATATAAGGGTCCGAAATCAGCCCAGGTTCCTTCACAGTGGTGACCACCTGGAGCTGCAAGGACAGGATTTGGCATTGTAGAGGCGGCTGCACTTCATCAAAGCCCCTATGTGCACACCGTGTTCAATGGCTTCACATTGCTGACATGCATCCATGCATCTACAACTACAAACATGCCCAATTGCCAAAAATGAGGCTCGGATTTCAAAAGCTACAAACAGAATGATCCTGAACACCGAAAGGCCCTGAAAAAAGTACCATGATGCGGCAAAGGCGCGCATGGCGTTCCTTCATATGATCCCTACACAACTCTTACGGGACTCCAACAATTTCCCCACATATTCCAAAGCTCCCAAAACACTCTCTCTTTTAAACAGAAACGGCCGATGTACATTGCGGCCTTGGTGGTGGTCTCCCGAACGCCTGAGCACCGAGCAAGCAGAAATCGAGCTCTAGAAGTGCGGCGCTTTTGCCTTCCGAGGAGGATTACATGAAAGCAAGCTTAGTTGATACAACTGGTTCATGAGGTCGGAGCATCTGAGTTTTCCTGAGCAAGAGAAGTCTTACTCTTCTGCGCCATGGCTATCTGCAACCACGCTGCTTGCACCCGCCACGGTGACCTCCAAGAAGGAAAAGTAGAGTTTGGGGCTTCGGGCTCCGAAGAATATTCCACTTTCGTTTTGCTTGAAGACCTCGCTGAGGAAGACGCCAGAAAATGGAAAGCCCTGCTGCTTGAGGAGTGCATAGCACATGTCCCTCCGTAAAACAGACCCACAGTAAAGCTCCGTACTTTGGGCCATTTAGGGATGGTTGGTGCTGACCATAGCATAAAGTAGCTGAAGGCACGCTAAGCTTCATCAACACCCGGATGGCAACTTGGCAGAGATTGCCTCGCCAGGGGTCCTGGACCGCCGAACCCCTAGACAAACAAAGCGGACAATTCCTCACACCTGAACTTGTAAATCTATTCAATTCGCCTTGTTCCTCGCACTCTCAGGCCACCCTTCGGAGTCAACAACTCCACACCCTAAGTCTTAAAAAAGGTCTAGGTCCTCTCTCCAATTCATGCCCTCTTACAATCCCTTACCTGTCCTTGCTTCGCACTATTTCACATGCGACATGCGTCGTATCTGCGAGGGACTGCCACCCTTCCGTCACATGAGGAGCCTCTTCCACTCGCCGTGGGCCCTCAATGTCACGGGACTCCTCGCAGTCATCGCCGGGATGCTCACTGTCTGCAGCTTTAAGTCTGTGTCCGTAGTAGGTTAAGGGTGCCAACGGGTAGGTTCTACATGAAGTTCCTATCATTCCCAGCACTTCTCCCTGTAAGACATGTCAGGTCGTAGTCGTGGTCCAACCGTTGAACTGAAGCTGCATTCTGACTTGTCTTGAAGTCACGGAATTTCTGCACCGGAGTGCTACCTACATTTACACAGTGACCGCTCCTCCTACTGAGGTCTAGACACGCATTTCAAGGCGTGCATCCTGAGAAGGAATCTGCAACATGCACACATGCAGCGCGTCAGACGGATCCACATCTCATGTGAAACTCTTGTGCAAAAAAATCTTAGTGTTGAGCTATTGGGGAACCTATGATCCTATATAATATAGTCGTTTCCATTCTATTTTCCATTATCCCAATATAACCTCAATATAACCCCAATATAACCCTTATATAATCCCCTATATAATCCCCATATTTCTTCAATCATGCCTCAGCCCTGTCCTCACGAAGGAATTCGCAGCGCTCCTCCGCAGAGAACTGGAGCGAAACCTGACGGCTTATCTAGGGATAACCGAAAAGAACATGGAATCTATAGGGATTGTAGGGGTTATATGGGGATAGTGGAAAACAAAATGCAAACTACAGCCAACACGCGCTCTCAACATTAGCTCCTGAACACGGATGAATCCTTGAAATTTAGGCCTTAGACCTCAGCGCTAAACCCGGCCTCCAGAATATAGCCTCTCTTGAAGAATTCCAGAAGCTGATACACCCTGAATCCTAAACCCTCTAGACTTACCATTATGATTACTAGTATGCCTGTTCCTATTACTGGAGCCCTAATTACTTGGAGGGACCCGACTTCAATAATCTGCTACATCCACTCAATTACTGACCCCATGAAGGCCATTCTATATCCCTTAACCCGGATTACACGCAATATACTTTCCGTTCCATATCAACCTCTATTACTGGTGCATTATCCCTATTTATTCCTAAAAACCGTAAATTCTAAACCCTGAACCCGACATCCTAAACTAAACTGATCCCTTTACAACCCCTGGAAAAGTAATGGTTATTCAGCTACATTACAACCCGCATAACACCCTGTATAAGTGGATTTTCCATGGCATTTTCCACTTTCCATTTTGATTATCCAGTATTACTATAAAAGCGGTACTTCTTGAGGCCCCTAAACAGGCCCCTAAACCCTGAACCCTAAAAGCCTGTATGTAACACTAGCTTCCTTTTTCTGGTCCATTCTTCTCCCCAAAACTATAATACAAATCCTAAAGCCCAACTCCTAAACCCTAAAATCATCCCTCTACAATCCCTGCAATGTTGGTCTACCTTGTCTGTCAAGGTACGCTCCCTTCCTTGGCCCAGCTCTGCAGCGTCTGCAGCTGTGCGGAGGTAAGGCCAAGGGCTTGGAGGCAGCTGATCCTCAGAGCTTGCTTTGGATTTAGGGTTTCAATTTTGGGTTTAGGGTTTTAGGATTTGATTTCAGGTTTAGGGCTTAGGCTACAAGGTTTAAGGTGTAGGGTAGGAGGGATGGTTGAGAGGGAGGTGTGTTACCAGGGAACGCTGGCGAGTCCGGGGGAAATAAGGAATACGGGGGATTACTAGATAACTAGTTCCTGCAACAACCCCCCCGCAGGAGCTCTGCTTTGTGGGTTTCAAAGAGCGCGCGTACGTTCTGTGGAGGTTCATGCCTTCATACAGGTATGACTGCATGTGCATGCTAAGTAGGATGTATATGTACATGTAAAAGTATACATGAATTCCAGGCATATGCAAAGTTCAGGGCGAGAGACTACGCTAGCTTTTGCGCAATGCTGCTGGAAATCTAGATGCTCAAGGAACTTGTGCTCATGGGTTGCCAGTTCTAAGGGCTGTGGGTTGTAAAGGTCAAAGAAACTGTGGGGAGCGCAGCTGACCAATCAAGTGAACCAGATGCATGAAAAATTAGGGGCATTCCGAAGGAGAAAAAAAGTCCCGCTGTGTGCTCCAGCATGCGATAATCCTTATACCTCTAAACTGGACCCCGATTTTTTGGAACCACCCCATTCTGGGCCATCTCCGAAAAGAGTAGCTTCCAAAGATGAGAGGTCTCCCAGTGAGCATATACTTATATGGAAGTCTCTTCAGGAAGGCAGGTTTCCAAAGCCAAGATTCAAGTTTGCGCCTTAAGCGCAAAGTGCTGTCTGAGGCTGTGCCCGAAAAGTGGCCAGCACCAAAGAAGGGTTCAGCTCTGGAATCTCTACTTGGAGGGTTATGAGGGCTTAGTGAGTATAGTTCCAGCGCCCATCAGCCAGCAGCTTCAGAATAACTCCAGAAATCCCACCTATTTACCTACTTACCAAATGCCCCCGACACTCCCAGTAGGGTTTAGGTTAAAGGCGCAGTGTATTCCTTTCCCCCTCAGCACCTCCTGAAGGAATTACCCAGCCTCCTCTTGGGTACATAAATGAAAAATGTTGCTGGTACATCTTTAGAACTGCTGTTCTATGAAGCAAAGACCCCTACTCCCCGGCATGCAAGGAGCCCTGCTTCCAAATTAAGGAATCTTCCTTCAAGCTAATTGGGCATTCTAGTCAGTTCAAATTGAGATTGGGCACTATAGAGTATAACTTAAATCAAGATTGCAAAAGAATCCACCAACCTCCGTGTCTTCGACGAGCTGCTGGGAGGCGATCGCGGAATTAGTAAGGAATTCGACTAGCAAGAACTTGTCCAGGTACCGATGGAACCTGAGAAACGCTCAGCTGCGTTGCTACATGTAATGATCTGAAGTTCTATGATCCAGCACTGCAAGATTTGGAAGTTCAGCGTTGTAATTACAGGGTGGAAGGGGCGGGAAATATCAAAAAGCTGTGTATGAGGAGTCTAGCCCTTAAGCCGCATGAAAAATCCAGCTTGAAAGACAATCCCTATGACAATCAAAAAATCGGAAGACTTAACACTGACTCCAATCAGATGAGCCATAGTATCCACCTTCATTACCCCTGTAGTCGTCCCCTATATAACCCCTCATACAAAGCCCCTTTAAAGAGTTCAGAGAATGCTCAGATGTGTCCAGTTCCGCTGAGATGGCAATATAGACCCGTGATTAATAAACCCCGTCCCCCTTAATAGGGATTACATCAAGGACCAAGGAACCTGATATTCAGGCCCTTAAAGGGAGGAGGTTTATTAATCAGGGGTCTATAGGATTAAGGCGCAGACGCCATAACAAATGGATTCATGTCGCATGACTTTAGGAAAAGGGGCAGTGCGGGAACTCTGCTTTCAACTGGGTTGCTGTTAAGGAACTTAAATTAAGTTACCATAATGGGCATGTGTAGCTAATAATAGGTAAAGGGGGTGGCAATAATACCTTCTCGCCGGGCCGGAAAAATCACGGAAGGTAGCGTTTGCTTTCTAACAAGTTCG